TGACGGCCTACGCGAATCAATTGAATGTTACCGGCTTCGTCTATGGTCCAAGGTATGGGAGAGCGCAATATCTGGCGAAACCTAGAACAGCTGGCTTCAACAGGGATGTCTGGAGTAGCTTGGACGGCGTGAGGGAGGTGTACGCATAGGAAGAGGAAGGACGCGCTTTTGTGTTTAAAGGCAAAGTTCGGGCTCAGACCCACCTAATAAGCCCTTAAAGTGGCTAGAAGTGCATGGGACGCAACTGCAGGCGACTCGCCAAGTTCCCGCATCGAAATGCGTCACTAAGGCGCTAGGGGCCAAGGACTTTGACACGCTCCACCTGTTGCGACACGCTCCGCCCACCGCTCGATATTTTGTCTGCGTCGCAATGCTGATCTGCTATGCTCTCTCCTCGGACTTCTCTACCGCTCTCCGCGCTCACATTATCTCTCATCTCCCTGCCGGCCTTTTGAACTTCTCCGCAACGTAGAGCAAAAGGCTCGTATTTCCTGTGTATTTCACGATTTTTTTTCCTTTTTTCTCCACTGGCGGTCCACCTCCCACCCCTACATCACATTTGAGTAGAATTACCTCATCAGTTTAAGCTTGAATCTTGCCTTTAAGGAGAATCTATTGCTTTTGGATCTGCTGCTTCAGGAGTAACATGTACCACGCCAATCCATCTTCAACCACGCTCGACGGGGTATTTCTTTCATGCATGCGTGGAAAGGGATGTGCGACGTCAATGGACTCGGCGAACGACGCTAAATGCATGAGGCCTGAGAGCGCTGACGAAACAGAAACTTGACCCGGTCCAAAGGATCCCACCCAGGTGGCTCTCCTATTGTCGGGAGGAGTGAAACTGGATAGGGTCTGGGACCGTTTGCTATATTCCACCGGGTCGAAAGACCCTTCGAATGAATGTAAAACGTTTTTTCGCAAGGATGCCGCTAGGAATGCACATGTGAAGATTATGGATGTGTAATCATAAATTGTGTGAAAACGCTCAAACGCCTGCCTGTTTCAGGGAAGGATCGAATAGTTCAATAGTTCGAGATCGACCTCCTCCCCATCCCTGCCCCACTTGTGAGCACCAGCACTAGCTTTGTGTTAGGTTTCTATTTTATCACCTCACTATCGGTTTGACTGTCGCTCCGTTCTTCTGAAGAAATCCCTTGTATATGAGTGGAACATGGATGGATATGAGAATACCTTCTCGACCAAATCCTAACTCTACATTACTGTCAGCACAAAGACAACCGAGAGGATCAGCCTGTGAGACACCTGTGGGTAGCCTTTTTACAAGCAGCCCGTCCCAATGAGAGTTTTCTACCGCACTATCCGGTGATTTACTACCAACTATGAATGGAATGATGCCGTACTACGACTTTCAGTTTTCTAACCGCTTTCCTTGAGATAGCGGCCATGGCCTCAATTCGAAACATCTACCTTGGCGCTGGAATCGGTTATAAACCGATGCCGGAAGTGGGAGAGTTACAGTAATACTTGCTAGTAAAGAAGCTGAGAATTTTCGCTGTCACCTCTTGTCACTTCACTAGCAGCTTGTTGGCTTGGTTTTTTCAAAAAATTATCAGGCACAAGAACCCAATGAGGTCCTCTTAGTGGAACAGGGTACCAGTTGTGGTAAGTAGTTAGTGAGTTAGGGTAAGGTGTAGTTGAGCTCTGATGACTAGTACGTACTTCTCAGTGGAAACCTTAACCTCAACCCTTCCCTACAAAATGTTACACACTCAGCGCTGGTTTCTACAGCCCTTCTCAACAGCAGTTCAGTTCGAAAAGTAGTTCGACCTGAAAGCGGTTTCAAGAGATGGAAGCGAGACTGAAGTGTCGGTGAAACTATGGGGGAACAAAAATGGCTGACGAACGCGCGCTGTCAGCGACAGTCTTTGTGACCGGCGAGAAATCGGAGCTGCAAAGACCATTTGTCTCGAAAAGCAAACCGATTCGACACTAAAGAAACTCCTCACTGAAGGTTCCGACATGTTTACCCGCTGACCATCTTTTTAGGAGAAATTTTTCGTAATTAGTGGTCATTATTGTGGACTGGACGTAAGCCAAAAATTCGACCCAATTCATGAAGAAAAAAGCGGAACACCCACATAGTAGAGGCCGAGGAATGCTTCAGAATGATTCATGAAGGAATTTAAGGCATTGGCCTCTGAAAAGAAAAACATCACTTCAAAGAAGGCATGGCTCAGTAGCCAACCAGTAAGACGAAATCTGAACGGCAACACGAGCCGTTACGTTGCGGGCCAGGTGAACTCGGTTGTACTGTCTCAATTTAGTGCTCCTGCATCCCCCCTAACCGGCAACTCATGGGTAATGCATTTCGTTTTTGAACGGGTGTGGGAGGGGATCAAGAAAAATGAGCAGACAGTTTCGCGGGTATAACAATTGCTAAATATAGAAACTTCCCGAAAGCGGGATGAGGCTCAATATAAGTCCTAGCCCTGACGAGTTCTGCACATTTCTTCACTTACGGTTCATACTCTGTACACATACTGGTTACCTATACTGACTTACTCACACACGCTCTTGAATCGTAGCCAAACTTCTCACTTATCACTCCTCCTTATTCTGTATGGCTGGTGTCAGAGTCTGCGATTCGACGCGCGAATCGCAAAAATCGCAAGTGCCTCCTTGAACATTGAAACACTGAATATGAAACAAGTAGAATCATGAACAGTCGTCATTCAACCATCACCATCAAGCAGAAATGGCGGCGGGATTGGAGAGCACCTCGCAGTATTGATCGGGGCACTTGTGATTTCTGTGATCCGTCGCGCGAATCGCGTGACGAATCGCGAACTCTGACACCAGCCTAAGGGGATTCTCCTAAAAGAGTCAGCTTCTTTTTGACATTGTACTCACAAATCATGTGGAATATTTTCTGTTCTTGAGGAATACTGATCGGTATTCCTTTCCTTAACCGGTAGCGTCGTTGAGATGTATACTACAGGGTGAGCCAAAATTATGGTAACGCGAGCGCGTACGGTCAAACCCATTTTTCGAATTTCTTCACTTAACTATTCAATTAGACAAGTAGTCACTTCACGGTATGCCAATCCTCAAATTGAACTGACAGCTCTGGCACACCACATTTAGCAAAAGTTCAACGGAATGGGTAACGGTTAATGGGTAATTGGTAAAGGGATTACTGCTGAATGTATCAGCAATTTAAGAACCACTCAAGATGGAAAAAGGGATCCGAAGGTTACGTTTAATACCAGGACAAAAACTAAATGCAGAAACTCGTTCTCTTTGCTGCCAATTTCGCATTGCATGTGTAGCGCAGTTCTCAACGAGTAATTGAGTTTTTGGAGGGTGGAGAGGTTTATATTTAGGATTGGTGAAGGCCAAAATGTTACAGTTAAGGAGTTGTATCTCCAAATCAGAATGAGTGTAGTTGGAAAGCTCTTCTTTCACAAAACTTTACTGATGACGTTTCGGGCCTAAGCCCTTCTTCAGATCAACTGAAACAGCAACAGCACAAATAGCACAACACATGAATACATTGTCAATAAGTGGTGCACCTTAGTTGTATTTCCGTTGAAGGAGCTATGGTGGCGGTAAAGGGAGGTCGTTTTGATGGGTTACTACGAAACTTTGAGGAAAGTTTGAAGACGTAAGTATGAAGCAGTCAAAATTAGAGGCTTTGCCGCCTTAATACATCGGTTCACCCCCCCCCCCCCACCTCCCGTCCAGCCGTGGCACTTGAAAAACGGTAGGCGGAGTTGGAACGCATTGACCGGCTGGCACAGAGGGAGGGTGTCGGTAGCGGCGGGACGGGGGTGCTAACTTAGTTGGGGGGGGGCACGCGGCGGCGCGGCAGTCTGCTCACCTGGGCTCTCTCGAGCGAGACAGTGTAAACTCGAACATTCCAGCTTTTCACGCATGTCAAGTGACTGCCCCCCCCACCCCCTAGACTGCCTACACTCCCCCTGGCCCACGGATTTCCGAACATGCCAGGCGAGCAGACTGCCGCGCCGCCGCGTGCCCCCCCCCAACTAAGTTAGCACCCAGGGGGACTTCCTAAAAGGGTGTCCTGTGATTGTAAGCGGGGTCGTAACCAACCCCTGGTAAGGTGGTGAGTGCCGGTGTTGGTCGCAGAATCCCGTGGAATGGAGAACCAGAAGTTGACCCCGGCTTTGTGTACCGGGTGTGCTGCCCTCAGCGAGCTAGTGTAAACCCGACATATTCAGCCTTTCATTGGTCGTTTTTGGCTCAACCTACCCCCTTCCTCTCCTCTGTAAGACGCTTTAAAACGGCTGAAAGGTCCACATTCCCCTGGCCCACGTGTTCCTCGCTGTGCATCGGAGAGCGCGAACATATCGCGCGTCGCCTTTTCCTCCCATCCCGACTAATTTGCATAAAAAATGACCTGAGTCCAACACGAGCCACACGCACTGCGGCATTTGGGACATAGCGGTTTTGCGATAGGAGAGATTGCAAGACCGAAAATACACGAAGTCGTAAGATCGCAACCCACGAATGCCCTATGTCTGCAACTACAGACGAAACCGCAGTGTAACCGTAGTCACGCGCCAAAATTTCTTGCAATGGCGCGCCCTGTTCCTTTGTATCATTTCGAGTTGTGTGTCTAGTTTTTACTCTTTCTTCGTTATCTTAATGTAGCGGGCGCAATGTGGCTCGGGGGCACTCTGAGAAAAGTCATCTAGGACTAAGCCTAAACAGCAGGGACGAACTCCGGAGAATACGAAAATTGCTTCCGTACACCGGAGTTCCTCTCCTCTTCAAAAGCTTAGTCCTAAAACGGAGCGTTTCCGTGATTTTGACGCGATGTTGCGAGGTGCCCCCCCCCGAGCCACATTGCGCCTAGCCTTTCCTTTCGGTTTTGACCACTTTGATCTTATATATACCGCTGATCGAGTCATTTTCTTGTTTTTCCTGCAAATCTTACCTAGTGGGAAATTGTGAGACCATTTACAGGTACCTACATAGGCATCGAGGATACTGATTCATTGCTCAAGGATTTGATGAGTAACGTGGCAAGGATAGCAGAGGTAATTTTGAGCTTGGTCTTGAATATGTTCTGAAGCTTTCATTTACTTTTCAATGAGAGGCTTGTGGTTAGGGATGAAGGTAATGTGTACTTATTCGTCCACTCTGTTAACAAAATTCCCATTCGCATTCAGCCTTCAGTTCAGTAGTGTACTAAGAATCACGAAACAAGGGGGACAGCTCTAGGAATGCTTCTTCCTTGTATAATTATGCTTGCAGATATCCAAACACATGCTCCCAGGCGTTGACATTGGGAATCCTTACTCATTTTCCATCGGCCTCCTTTGACCGTTACACTGTCGCCCTTAACGCTACACCAGCTGAAAAATGCAGGCGAGTTCGTTGGGGCATATCCCACTGTGGTTGAATTCAGTTTCAGTGCGGCGATACCCACGCCATTGCCACTACCCGATAAATTGGTATCTGGGCGCATCGTTCCTATTCTGGGCGGATATTCAATCCGTGCCCCCAGGGGGGATTATTATACCCCAACTCTCGAATCATCCTCTGGGCGGACAGAAACGTTGCGATAATGGAGCCTAGCATACTCTGTGTTTTCTTACCGCGACAGGTGTAGAGCAGCCGCGACCCCTCAGGAAGAACCAGGTGCAACCGATCTATTGTATTCTAGAATGGTCATACTAATATATGGCAATAAAAATCAGCATCCTTTGCTCTTGCGAACCGAACCAGTTACGAAAGGAGTTTGGTGGAGATGACAGCGAGTTGAGGTCATGGAAGAAAAGGCGATCTACATGTAGCAGAGTATGTTCTGAGCAGCTCAGGCGATGATACGTTTATCTTCATGGATGGCTCTGCCTCCAGGTAGCGGATCCCCCTGCTTTCTAGGTGATGAGCGGTTGTCCTTTGCGGTTAGAGTATAGAAAAGAGAGCAACTTCAATGACGTCATCTGTCGTAAAATCTTGTCGAGCGCGGAAATCAGACAAGAAGAAGTCCTGTATCGCGGATTCCCTAGGTTTTTACTCCATTCAGCGGCGATTCGATTGAGGAGTAACTACGGGTCCATGAAATATGTGTGATTTGGAGGTTGGGTAACCTGTATGGGTTAGATTATGCAAATCTTGTAGAATTTTGGGCCGGTATACTTTTTTCAAGCTCACTACTTGTGGCCTCCAGTGGAGAATTTGAACCCTAATGCTATTCATTTGTCGTTTCTTTAAGGTGTTTACTATCATACACTTGTATGCGATCTATCAAGCTGTACGTTCGCCGAGGTTGGAAACCCTGAATCTCGAGCGGGCCACTATACTTGTTGGGTTCGCAAAGCAATCCAATTCTATTCTCCGCCCAATATTTTGAAGTTACTCCAACTCATCTGTAGTGCTTGATGGAGTCCGGCAAAATCGTGGCCGTGAATGAATGCAACAACATTGCATTCATTCCAAAAACCAATGTCAACCATTCAAATGGACAGTCCTAATAGGAACGATGCGCCAAAACCAATTACGGTAGTGGCAAATGGCGTGGGTCCCGCAACGAACTGAATTCAAACAGTGGGCAGCTTGCCAAAAAACTCGTCCTGCATTTTTTCAGGGTGTAGGTTTAGGCGACAGTCTAAAGACCCGTACTCCTTTAAAGGGACATGATAGGGTTGAACATTAGCGTGGAGAGATCAATCCATCGACTCATAGACAGATCACGATTCCTGAGAATGTTGGCAAAGCTTTCTGTTCGTTCAATGTACAGAATAAGCGAAAAAAATGTTTTCTTAAAAAAACGCTCTGCCTCGTGATCTAAATTATAAATTATAAAACCCCTTTTAGAAATTTGTTTTCATGTTCTCTTTCTTCGATCCCGCCATGCATGGCAAAGACTAGCTCTTCTATGTTTTCATATGACACGCAAAAACTTCAAATTTTCCAAGCTTTGGTTGACTTCTGCTATAAGCGCTACACAAAACCTGCATTGCGAGCGAAATTATGTAATTTGTTTCCAGGTCGTATTCATATAGTCTTTGTTTTCTGAACTGAATTCAAGCGTGACCTTTTCTCTTAATTTTTCTTCTTACTTCTAGATCACCGACCAATATGCCTTTAAATGCATGATCCAGTGATCCAAAGTAGAGAGGTTCGATGTTCTTTAGTTTAGCTAACGTTTCGTAGCGTTACGAAATCTCATTTAGTCTCCATCTTTTACTTTTCATTCTCTTAGCAGAGAAATCCAACAGGGCTAACATGAAGGAAATAGAAAGCTATGCGTTTCATCGATATACTGCGATTTTTTGTCCCATTCATAAAGACCGGAAGAAGTACTCAAATTTCACAGATCCTTGGCGCGAGGTGACGGTAAACCATCTCGAAACTTTCAATACCACATTCTCTTCACAATACTGGGACTCCATGGTTTCCTTTCGGTTATTTCATACTTTGTGATTAGCCGTAGCTTTTTGTTGTGATCGAAGACCAAAGGAGTCTTAATCAATCCTTTTCACCTGTCCGTACAATCAAGCATAACACTCAATCATGTTCTGGTCGAGTTTTCTATTGTTTGGTATGCGCTCATTGAGGGTAGATTTTCTTCATTACAGATCCGTACTAGCTCTACACGTGCTAGTAGAGCATCATGATTTGAAGTAGTAGTCGCGCTCGCGTAGTTGCTTCCATCCCACGCGAACTTAAAAGCAAAGACACGCTTGTCACGCAAGGCGGTTTTAGAAGCAGATTGTATGTATAGAAGCACTGAATATTTCTACTCGTAAATCTTTATTTCTCGTTGAGCGTACGCACGTATTCACTTTCAAGCTAACAAAACTAGGAAAGGGGAAGCGAATTGGCTTTCTGTACCTCTAATTGCATGCATTCTAACTTGCTTTATGTGAATGTGCCTGTGAAACTTCTTAGTTCATCGACTGGTAGGGTGGTTGTTTATTTTAACTTCTATAAAAGTAGAGGTATTAAATTATCTCGTAAGCTTAACACAAAACTAAAACTTCCTTTTTTCGTTTCAGAGCTGTTCTTCCGATAGTGATGAGGACCTTTACACTCACAGTATAGACATCAAGAAGGTCAGAGGTGTTGCAGCAAATCATAGCACTTTCTGTGGAGATCATCGAAATGGCGATAGTGGCATTTCTCGAACACGTAAGTCACTCTTTTCCTATTTTCCACTTTTTCTTTGCCCAAGACGGAGCAGTCAAAAGGCTGCTTCCGTGCTCAGTGGTCTGAGTGCAATCGCAAATCAACTTGTAAAAGCAATGCAGTAAATCATTCGTTTAGTCTATTATCGCACAGCCTTTGTTCTACTAGTTATTTTTTATTGTAGGACCAGTTGTGGGACTTTCCCCGGGTGTGGTTCACTAGGACAGAAAGCGACTTTTTCGCGTTTCGCAGCGCGAAACATTTTTCGCTGCGGGAACCTCAGGTCCACCGCTGATCATGGTGGACCTGAGGTTCCCGCAGCGAAAAATGTTTCGCGCTGCGAAACGGAAAAGTCGCTTTCTGTCCACGTGAACCACACCCACCTTCCCCATGACCCAAGCCACTACTGGTGGTCGTGTTGAAATGTAATGAAAGTGCATACCGCTATGGTACGCGCGTTTCCCACGGACCACGTGTGGTGCCCAAAGTCTGAACGCTCCCTCTACATCCAGTCGCGTTCGCAGTTTCGTGGATGTTCGCTACACACTCTGGTCTACTAGGAAAGCCGTACTATTGGTTACATGTCTCCGTGATGGGGCCTAGTTATTGAATTTCTGATTTTGACTAATGGTACGAACTTTGCTAGCCTTTTGCGCAACAACATCTCTTTGTTGTAATCCTTTTAAGCTCTTTATGATGCTTTTCGCAAGGGAATTCCATATCTTCATTTTCTTTATTTTAGCGAAGCCAGATATTATTGCGCTAGACGACGACGACTCTGATTCATTAGATTTGTCAGATCCAGAAAACATATGTCCAAAGGTAGTTGTTTAAAAACTCTCAATCTTTGGGTTTCTTCTGAACAGTTGCAATGTTCTGAAGGTCTTCTATAAATTTTGCTTCCAGTTGCAATTCTTTTCCTTTTCTAGAAAGCCAAAGAATCCTCTAGGAAACGAAGGGAACGTATGGAGCGGGAACAGTTGCAAGGTAAGCTATCCCCGTTGTTTTTCCGACACGACGTTTCAGTTCCATCTTTTTTGGGTTTTGTTTTTCCTGTTTGTGGCCATCGGAGTTTTTTTTAGAGTTGGAGAAGATTATGCACGAGCCAATAGTTGTAGATAGATTTGTTCCTGCGAAGACAAGAAAGATTACTCCGCTTATAGTTGATTCGTGAGTATAAGCAACTACGTTCTTTAGACGTTTGTTTCTTTTTTCTTTTTTTGCAATCGTATTGAAAGCATTACTTATTTCAGTTCCCATTCTTCTGAAATTCTGAATGACAGCATAGAGTCAGTAGAATCAATAGCAGTATTACCATCAAAAAGCAAAGCGGTTGCTGAAGACGTCATAGATTTGGACAAGGAAGTTGACCTTTATGTAACCGTTAACGTGGATCACCAAGCGGGCAAGCCAGGGCGATTTATGACCATCCGTCGGGTAAGGAGTTCCTGTTTTTTTTTGAAACAATAGCTGCGGCAGTTTTTGCGTGCGTTGCGTTTTTTATCTTTTGAAAAGCTATGATTCTCGATTTTAAGCAACGATGAAAGCTGGTAACATTTCTGAGCAGAAGTGTCGTATAACACATTCTCAAGTAAGGGTGGAAAGTTAGCAAGCAATCTTGTCAAGGGAAAACTGCAGGCGTTTTCTTGTTTTCCACTGTTTTCGCCTTTGGCGTAGCAGACCTGGTGGGCATTGACGGCAAGCGTGTAAAGCCATCATGCAGGTTGCGTTCGTTAAAGGAGAATGATAGGGATTGAAAAAGTGGTTTTCTCGGTCATAAAATGAAGGATCAATTGTGCTGCGCGCAGATTTCAAAAATTTTACTACCTCTTCCCCCACCCACCCTTACCATCATGGATGTTTCTAAAAGTTTCTATAGTATTTGATTCTGTGACCACACCACACACTTCACGCTTCCATCGGCCGACGTTGAGTGTGGGAATATCTGTTGAAAAAGGGGAAAATCTAAGAAGTGCGCACCAAAATTGCAGACGTAATTTCCGATGAGAACAATAGAACAGCGTCCATTTGTACTTTACCAAATTGTTATCCTTGCTCGGGTGGGATTCTTAAATTTCGGCTCTCTCCAAACTGCGGGTGTGCAACCCGTACCTGAATCGTTCACACCACTTTGAGTATAAAATGTTTTCTGCCATGATCAAAACACTGCACTATAAATTAACGGAATCAAAGACAAGGCTCGAACAAAGAACTGCTATACGTTTGGCCGGGGGGACTCGGGTTTAAGGTCTCCACGATCAAATTCCGTCTCTCGCAGCCACTCCGGCGCTCTATATCTGTGCGCAGGCTGAATGTTGTCAGAAATGAAGTGTGGGAATTCTGAAGACAGTTTCTCTATCGATGATTACTGACGGACTGTTGTAGGTTTGAAGATGATTCTTGGAAGTTAAACAACTCGTTTAAGCTATTGGACTCTGTTCAGGTATGAGCCACTTTGACAAGCTAGTGCAGTGTTCGCAATGGGCTGGAAATGCACAGCTCGACGTTCTTGATCATGTGGTAATAGATAGATGCTTGGCTCAGTGAGACCTCCGGATTCGATGGGTCTTGTGATTTGAAGAATGGTTACTGGTATAAATAGAGAGAACCTGTTGGCAGACACGGGGTCAACCGTCGCGTTCGCTTTCAGAGTTTTTGCGTCCCCCACAATGCACATCAGCCTTGGAGGGTTTCCCCGTAGACCACCGACCACCATCGTCATCATGACTGTTTCTGTGATGTGATTCCCAGTCGACACAGCCAACTTTCCGCCACTTTCTGTGCGACTCCGTTCGAGTCCGGAGGAGGAGAAGGGATAGGGTGGCCTAATGTCTTTTCCGAAACCACACTACCCTAATAACTTTTCCTCAACATTGGACTGCTTACTGCAACCTCAGATGTAACCCCCCCCCCATAAAAAAAAATAAAAAAAGAGTCACGATGCGATCTGCTGTTCGATAGTGCAGATTTAAGGGTACGTGTACTTGAGTAGAAGTGAAGACTAGTGCAATATTAGCAAAGATATTTTCTGGTTCTAATTGGTCACGCCAGATACACGTTATGCTACCTTCTCTGAGTTCGTAACAGGCCAAGTTATTCTATCAGATAGCCCATTCTAATGTTTCCGGTGGCGTGGGCAAAATCAAAATAGTCAGGACAGGCGGAGGGCGCCTAAAGGCACATCATTACGTTACCGCACGCTGTGCAGCTCGTGCTCGCGATGTTCCGAATAATTTATAGGAAGTTGTTGTAGAAATTGTATGCAGTGTTGTGACAAAATATTTTCTATTTCTGATGATAGATTCATTTTTAGCTAGCCGTGGTTAATGTATTCTCCCTTAAATCTGACTCCACATATGAAGAGGATTATGCAAGTGATCCAAATTTCATAGCTATAAAGTGTATCTTCGCAAATGGTCGACCTCGCTGTGTGTATATTAGTCTGGTAAGTTTTAGCTGCAGCTTTTTTACCTGTTCAACTGTTGCAGCTTTGTGAATACATTATTTCAAGACGGAGACCTTCTCTGAAGCAAAAAAGCGCATTTCCAAGGAACTGAAACTGGCGAAAGCCATAGCTAAGCTGGTGTTTGACAGCGAAGTTCTCAGTGATGATGACAGCCCAGAATCTGTTGGAATGGAAGCTGATGATGTTATTGAAATATATTTGAAAGATTAACATTTTTTAGATAATGCATGTGAGATGTACTCGTCACTTGTCACCGGTTGTATAAGATTTTTTTTGTTTTTCTAGCCAACATCGATTCTCTACTATCAGTGTCATTTTTGTGTAAGTGCTCTTGATCTCGCTTCAATCGATTAACTACTTCACGGTGGTCTTTCTTGTGTTATTTTACTCGGATTAACCAGCAAACCCTATAAACCATAACTGTCATGTTTGGATGATTACTCAGCTTAGAAACCTTGAACAGAGGAAATATGTGGGCATAATTTTAGCCTGTGCAGATTTCACCTGGATCAAATTGCACAACTCTTTAAACATGTTTAGCATGTACAGCCGTTTTTCACAATGGATATGCATATAGATATGCACTAGAAGCTGCTTCGAGGGAGAAATATGTGTCTTCTCTTACTGCTACTGTTGCTCTGATCGCGCCTTATCTGCTGCTGTTGGACTCGGTTGGGATACACATATGTTGGGAGCATTTCTAGGTATAGCGCTGTTTTGAACGGTTGATGGTTCGGTAGCAGCACTCTTTACGGACCTTGGAACATTGCGAAGCTTGTGGGGAGCTCTTGAGTTTAGGGCGCATGCATGGTCGGCCGTCCTATTGTAACGATCGCACAGCGTTAGATACCTATCGAATGTCCAATCCGATTAACACGTCTGACGATCGGAGCGCATCCAATGCTGTGCGGTCGTTACGATCGTTACGATCGGATGACCGGCTATGAATGCG